CAGTATTGCTCAGTGGATAGAGCGTTGGCTTGTGGTCTCAAGGGTCCCAGGTTCGATTCTGGTCAGGGGCATGTACCTTGGTTGCGGGCACATCCCCAATGGGGAGTGTACAGGAGGCAGCTGATCGATGTTTCTCTCTCATCGATGTTTCTAACTCTCTATCCCTTTCTCTTCGTCTCTGAAAAAACTTAATAAAAAAAATATAAATATATATTTTTTTTCATTTTTTTTACAGAGAGGAAGGGAGAGAGAGCTAGAAACATCTATGAGAAACATGAGAGAGAAACATTGATCAGCTGCCTCTTGCACACCCCCTACTGGGGATATGCCCACAACCAAGGTATATGCCCTTGACTGGAATTGAACCTGGGAACTTTCAGTCCGCAGGCCAATGCCCTATCCACTGAGCCAAACCAGTTTCAGCATGTTTCAGAAGACTTAATCCTGTGCCACCATTTCTGGGAAGACTGAGCTAGGCCTCAGTTTACTCCTGCATCATCTGAAGAGAAGGGACTAGCCAACCCAGATAAACTGGGAGGTTCAAGCAGGTCAGAACCAAAAGGGGTCTGACAAGCCAAACTAGCTGGCATTTTCTTGTCTTTTTCCCCCCAATTAAATATTTTTATTGATTTTAGAGAAGAAAGGAGGTGAGAGCAGAGTATCCATTGGCTGCCTCCTGCATGCCCCCCACCAGGAATCAAGCCCCCAATGCTGAGGATGTGCCCTGACTGGGAATTGAACCAACAATCTTTCGGTGCACAGGATGACCAACCCACCAAGCCACACTAGCTAGCTGGCATTTTTAAGTGGGAAGAGGAGGCCTCAGCAGGAGTGAGAACCTGCCTAGGAATACAGAACTTGTCAACGGCTGAACTTAGCTTCCAGGTTCTCTAGCTCCTGCCCCAGGTGATTCCACCCAGAGGGAAAACCAGATTACCAGCTTTAGAGCTGATTCCCACCAACTTCTTTCCTCTACTGCAGTGTTTTCCAAACTTCTCTCATGATGAGGATCACCTGGTGGAGTTGTTAAACTACAGATTCCTGAATCCCAACTAAGAAGTGCTAAACTAGAATTTTTGGGAACATATAGGTAAAGTTTAACAACTCCACCAGGTGATCCTCATCATGAGAGAAGTTGGGAAACACTGCTCTACTGCTTGCACTTATCCATTCAATGTGCCACTGGGTCCCACCCGCCAGGCAGTAGAGCGTGGGGATCATGGGTGTAAACCTTGGAGTTAACTCCTGGGTGGGAATCTGGCCCTGTCTCTTCCTAATTATAGATAAGTTACTTAACTTCACTGGGCTTCAGTGTTTTGTTTTGTTTTTTTGGTTTGTTTGTTTTTTTCATGTGTGTGAGTTTTATTTTTGTGTTGTTGTTTTTAGGTTTTTGTTTTTTGTAAAGTGAGAATAATAGTTCCTCCCTCTAGGGTTGTTGAGAGGATGAAACTGAATAATACACAGAAAGCACTGGGCATAGTACTGAACACTTAATACACTTAGGACATGTTCCAAGCTATTAATACTTGAGATCTAATAAAAATAACTCTTACATAGCTTTTACGCTATGTCTCACAACAATCATATGGGACAGGGGCCATTATCCCCATTTCCCAGATGGGAAAGCTGAGGCACAAGGGAGAAGACTTGCCCAAAGAAAGCATCAGCTAGGAAGTGGCAGGGCCAAGATTCCAACCCAATCCAATCCAATCCAACCAGCCTGCTTTAAGCACATGGGCCTGGTGTTAGCGAGTTTAATCTAGTGGGAAATTAGGACACCTGGGTGGAAACCAATTGTATGACATGGCAAACTTATAACAGAAACGTCACTCCTGGGTCTTACTCTGTGTTTGAAGCCCCATGGCAGCTTTTTTAGCCTCAGGAAGGTGAATGGCCAATTCCTCTGAGACTCAGTTGCTCATCAGAGAAATGGGGCACTGGAGGATGGGGTGTGTGTGTGTGTGTGTGTGTGTGATCCAAGTCACTCTCCTGCAGCTCCCCTGTCCCTGGGTTTGGAGAGTAGCTCTAGAAACATTTGTAACATCTGGTTGGGGAGACTCACTCCCAAACTCGGGGATCTGTAGGTTATACACCACCCTCCCCATGCACACACTCGGTTTCTTCAAAGAAACTGCCTCTCTCTGCTTTTCCTTTTTTCTTCAGGTTTTCCTCATCCCCTCAGATTCCCTCTCTTCTTTTCCTCTGACATTTTTCCTACCCCCTCCCTCAAGAGTCCCTCCGTTTTTCTCCTCCTCCTTTATTCTCCTCTCCCACACAAAGTGAATCTAGAGCCTTAATTTCCTCTTTTTTTCCCTCCCTGAGATTGGTTTCCTCTCCTCTTGGAGCAGACTCGTGCTCCTTCATTCTCTCCCTTCGCTCTTCGCTCAGAGTTCCTACCCCTCAACTCCCCGCCCCAGCCCTCGGGGTATCTAGTGCAATTTCTCGATTTTCCCCCTCGACTCCCAAGCGACTACCCCCCCGCATCCCCAAGATGGCGCCCGCACCCTCACTCCGCCGCCTGACGTCATCACGCCGCCCCCTCCTTCTGAGCCGTCCAGTGCTTGGAGACGGAGGAGGAGCATCCTCCGGGTGTAAGGAGGCGGGCACTAGCAGCCCGGGACCAGCCGGAGAGAAAAGGTCGCTAGAGGATTGGTTGGGCTCTGAAGGAATCCAGACGCTCCATACTATTGGTCCAAGGCTCGGAGACGTAAGTGCGTATTGGCCAAACGGCAGGGGCTAGGCCGGCGGTGATTGGGTGCGTGTGGACGTCCGCACGGCGGCCTAGGCGGTAGGTGGGAGGAGCGTTGCCGAGGGCGTTTGGGGGCGAGAGCGAGGCTGCGGAGCAGGCGAGAGGTGACGGCGGGAGCTAGAGAGAGCGCAGCGGTAGGGTGGCCGCGCAAGGGGAGCGGCGGCCCGGGTCCGGGCCCGAGGCGTGCGAGACGGCGGAGGCGGGTGAGTGCCGGCGGGCGGGCGGGCGCGTGGAGGGCCGGCCCAGCCGCTCCCCCTCGCTGCGGCCTGCGCTCGGCACCCCGCCTGCGCGCTGTGGGCCAGAGGTGGGGCGCGCGCCGGCCGTGAGTGCGGAGCGGGGCCTGCGGGCAGCCGGACGGGGGCCGGGCGGGGGCGGTGGGTGGGAAGGGGTCTAAAGTCGAGTAATGGGGCTGAATGAGGAGGATCCGGGCTCGGGTGGAGGCCCGGGAGGGTCCCGTGTGGGGAGGGAGGCGTTAGAGCTGTCTTTAGGAGGGGCTCCGGGGCTTATCGGAGCCAGGGGCTTGGCGTGAAAGAGTCCAAAACCGAAAGGGGGTGGGCGGTTAGGAAGTCACTTGGGTGCCGGGGGAGCTTTAGGACGAGAGGAAAAGAGATAACTAACTTAATGTAAAGAGAAGATTTAGTTATACTTGAGAAATTAGGCCAGTGGGAAGGGTCTTGACGTGAAAAGATAGTAGGGAACGGACATCCCCAGAGGGCAGATTTAGAGCTGAGGGAGAGGTCCTGGTGTGAAGAATGGTGTTATATTAATTGTGAAGAGGAGTTAAACCAAAGTGAAGGGGGTTGGATACCCTTGGAATGGATTCAGAGGGGTCTCTGTGCAAAAAAAAAGAAAAAAGGATGTCTGGATGCCCCTAGAATAAGTTGGATGGAGGTAGTCCTTTGGAAAAGTATAGGGAATTAGGTCAAGGTGAAGAGTGGAAATTGGAGGGGTTTAGGGTGTTATGAGAGATTTGTTCTGGGGATGTGGAGGGTGTCTGGTTAATCACTGGAATGAGATGACTTGTTACGTTAGGTTGATAAGAAGTTGGGGGTTTGGATATCCCCAGAGTATTTAATACTGGCTGGTGAGAGAATCTGGATCTAAGGAAGGGGGATCTGGCTCTTCTCTGTCATTGTTAAAAGTGGGGGTTAAGGGGAGTTTTGCATAAGAAGAGGGCATCTGGGCAGTGGAAGGGTCTGTGTGTGAAAGGGGGTCAAGCTATTAGATATCCCTGAATTGGGTTAATGTGTGTTCGGGATCTTTCTGCAAATAAGGGGAATTAAGTTGATATGAAGAAGGGGCCTGAGCATCCCTGGAATGAGTTAAGGTGGAAGGGGGTCTTTTTGCAAAAAAATAAGTAAAGTTAATAATGTGAAAGGGAGTCTGAGAAACCCTGAATGGGTCAGGGTAGTTTGCAAATGAAGACAAGGGGTTTAAATCAATGTGAAGAGGGGATTGGGTATCCCAGAGGGAAATTAGAATTGCAGATGAGGTCTCAGTGCAAAGAAAAGGTGATTGATGTGAAGAGTGTGTACCCTGGGGATACAGTTAGGGTGGTGGAAAGGGTCTAGGTATGAAAAATGGGTTAGGTATTTGTGAAGATGGGTCTGGGTATTTTGGATAAGGGGTCAGGGTTGTGGGAGAGGGCCTTTATTTAAAGAGGAGGATGAGTTGCACAGTGTGAGAGTGCTTAAAAGTATGAGGCATGGGGAAGTTTGAGTGATCTAGGTGTAAAGAGGTTGAGAGTCTCGGGGAGGGAGCAGAGGAAGAGGAAGACTGGAAAAAAGTGGGTGGTTAGACTCTTTGTAGACTCCCATGGGAGTGGGAGTGGGAATGGGTAGTGAGTTGGTAGGGAGAGGAGTCAGTGGAAGGAGGTCTGAGTGGAGAGGACAAGGGTTCCTGTGTGATGGGTGGGGCCTTGGGCCAGCTATGAGGCATGGGAGAATGAGGGTTGGACAGGTTACAGGAATCGGGTGGGTGGAGTTTGATTCCATTTGATTCAGTAAATTGACCAAGAATGGACTGATGGGAAGATTTTTGTGCTTGGTGCCCTTGTGTGTTTGGGAGAGGAAAGATTGTTAGGAAGAGAGGTGGGAGTGGGAAAATGGAAGCAAGAAATTAGAAGGGAATATAGATCTAGGTGGGATAGTAAAGGGAAAGAATCATTTCTGAGAAAGATTGAAGAAGCAGTGGCTTGGTTGTGATTTGCCCCCAAATCTCCCCTTTCCCAGCCCAGGGCCTTGCTGCCGCCATGACTGAAGAGTCAGAGGAGACGGTCCTGTACATTGAGCATCGCTTTGTCTGCTCTGAATGCAACCAACTCTATGGATCCCTGGAGGAGGTGCTCATGCACCAGAGTTCCCATGTGCCCCAGCATCACTTTGAGCTCGTGAGCGTGGCTGACCCTGGAGTCACTATGGCCACAGAGGCAGCTTCTGGCGCAGGCCTCTATCAGACGGTCGTGCAAGAGAGCCAGTACCAGTGCCTGGAATGTGGGCAGCTGCTGATGTCCCCTAGCCAGCTTCTGGAGCACCAGGAGTTGCACTTAAAAATGATGGCGCCTCAGGAGGTAGTGCCAACTGAGTCGCCACCCAAGGTACCTTCCCTGAGCTCCAGTACCATCCACTATGAGTGTGTTGATTGCAAGGCTCTCTTCGCCAGCCAGGAGCTCTGGCTGAACCATCGGCAGACGCACCTCCGGGCCACTCCCACCAAGCCTCCAGCCCCGGTTGTCCTAGGATCCCCCATGGGCCAGGCCCGTGTGGCCGTGGAGCACTCATATCGCAAAGCGGAAGAGGGTGGGGAAGGGGCAGCTGTCCCTTCCGCTGCTGCCACCACTACTGAGGTGGTAACTGAGGTGGAACTGCTGCTCTACAAGTGCTCTGAGTGCTCCCAGCTCTTCCAGTCGCCAGCTGACTTTCTGGAGCACCAAGCCACCCACTTCCCTGTTCCTGCACCAGAGTCTGAGGAGCCTGTCTTGCAGCAGGAGACCCTGACCCCATCGCCTGCAGAGGCGCCTGTGACTCAGCCTGATCCCCTGCCATCCTCTGACCATAGTTACGAACTGCGCAATGGTGAAGCCATTGGGCGTGATCGGCGGGGGCGCAAGGCCCGGAGGAACAACAGTGGAGAGCCAGATGGGACAGCCACCCAGGAGCTCTTTTGCTCAGCTTGTGATCAGCTCTTTCTTTCACCTCACCAGCTACAGCAGCACCTGCGGAGTCACCGGGAGGGTATCTTCAAGTGCCCCCTGTGTAGTCGTGTCTTTCCCAGCCCTTCCAGTCTAGACCAGCACCTTGGAGATCACAGTAGCGAGTCTCACTTCCTTTGTGTGGACTGTGGCCTGGCCTTTGGCACGGAGGCTCTCCTTCTGGCCCACCGACGAGCTCACACCCCGAATCCTCTGCATTCATGTCCATGTGGAAAGAACTTTGTCAACCTCACCAAGTTCCTTTATCACCGGCGTACCCATGGGGTGGGGGGTGTTCCTCTACCCACAACACCAGTCCTACCAGAGGAGCCTATCATTAGTTTCTCTGAGCCAGCTCCAGCCGAGATTGGAGAGCCAGAAGCTCCGGAGCCCCCGTCTGAGGAGAGCTCAGCAGAACCCGCTGCCCCAGGTACCTACCGCTGCCTCCTTTGCAGCCGTGAATTTGGCAAGGCATTACAGCTCACCAGGCACCAACGTTTTGTGCACCGACTAGAACGGCGCCACAAGTGTGGCATTTGCGGCAAGATGTTCAAGAAAAAGTCTCATGTGCGCAACCACCTGCGCACACACACGGGTGAACGGCCCTTCCCCTGCCCAGACTGCTCTAAACCTTTCAACTCGCCTGCCAACCTGGCCCGCCATAGGCTCACGCACACAGGGGAGCGGCCCTACCGGTGTGGGGACTGTGGCAAAGCTTTCACCCAAAGCTCTACCCTGAGGCAGCACCGCCTGGTGCATGCCCAACACTTCCCCTACCGCTGCCAGGAGTGTGGAGTGCGTTTTCACCGCCCCTACCGCTTGCTCATGCACCGCTACCACCACACTGGCGAATATCCCTACAAATGTCGCGAGTGCCCCCGCTCCTTCCTGTTGCGCCGGCTGCTGGAGGTGCACCAGCTTGTTGCCCATGCTGGGCGCCAGCCACACCGCTGCCCATCCTGTGGGGCTGCCTTCCCTTCCTCGCTGCGGCTCCGTGAGCACCGCTGTGCAGCTGCTGCTGCCCAGGGCCCACGGCGCTTTGAGTGTGGCACCTGTGGCAAGAAAGTGGGCTCAGCTGCTCGGCTACAAGCACATGAGGCGGCCCACGCAGCTGCTGGGCCTGGAGAGGTCCTGGCTAAGGAGCCACCAGCCCCCAGGGCCCCTCGAGCCACTCGCACACCAGTTGCCCCCCCAACAACCCTTGCAGGCACTGCTGCCTCGGCCTCTGCGGCCCCTGCCCGACGCCGGGGCTTGGAATGCAGCGAATGCAAGAAGCTGTTTAGCACAGAGACATCACTGCAAGTGCACCGGCGCATCCACACAGGTGAGCGGCCATACCCATGTCCAGACTGTGGCAAGGCCTTCCGTCAGAGTACCCACCTGAAGGACCACCGGCGCCTGCACACAGGTGAGCGGCCCTTTGCCTGTGAAGTGTGTGGCAAGGCCTTTGCCATCTCCATGCGCCTGGCAGAACATCGCCGTATTCACACGGGTGAAAGGCCCTACTCCTGCCCCGACTGTGGCAAGAGCTACCGCTCCTTCTCTAACCTATGGAAACACCGCAAGACCCACCAGCAACAGCATCAGGCAGCTGTGCGGCAACAGCTAGCAGAGGCCGAGGCTGCTGTTGGCCTGGCAGTGATGGAGACTGCAGTAGAGGCGCTGCCTTTGGTGGAAGCCATTGAGATCTACCCTCTGGCTGAGGCTGAGGGAGTCCAGATCAGTGGCTGACCCTGCCAGCTTCCCTCTTCAGGAGCACCACGCCCTGTTGCTGAAGAACCCCCTTCAACATCCCTTTAAATTTCTGTACATACAGTGCCTCTTCCTCCACCCTTCCCAACTGCTATGTAAATTCTGTAACTGGATTTATTCTCTTAGTGTTCTGGGGTCCCTGATATGCATAAAAGTGACCCTCACCTTTCCACTTCTTAGCACTCGTGGCCCCAAAGTGAAATAATCAATAAAACTGATTTGGACATTTATGTGCTTTTGGCTGTGCGAGGTGGAATTTGGGAGCCATGAGCGCAGATACTTTTCATGGCTGTGTTCCCAGCATCTAGAATGGCCTGGCAAGTAGTAGGAGCTCGGTAAATATTTGTTAAATTGAAGAGGACCTGAATTCCAAGGTTATAATATGGCATCTGGGGAGTAGGGACTTCACTCTGGTTCTAGATGGAGGCAGCATGGTGCTCTTGCCACTAGAGGTCCCCACAGTTTCATAGAAAAGCCTGAAGCTGTTTTTACTGGTGGTAGGAATATTTGGGGGAATCAGATTCTCACCTCCTGGCCTGGTGGCTTCCCTGGGGCCATCTTGATTTTCTCACCGGATCCCTAAGGGCATATGCAAGTCTGGAAAAGGCACAATCTTTCCAGCAATAGGGGGGGATGGCTCCTGTGACCAGACCCAGCTGTGGACTTTAAGATTCTAAGGGGCTGGGGGAGGAAGCTTCAGAAGAGATGACTTGATATCCACCTGAAGTTGGAGTCATGTCTCAAGTACTACTCTACATTTTTTGAAATATTTTTTTTTTAATCCTCACCCAGGGATATTTTTTTTATTGATTTCAGAGAGAGAAGCATCGGTTGCCTCCCGTATGCACCCCACCAGGGATCAAATCCACAACCTTTTGATGTACGGGACAATGCTCCAACCAGCTGAGCTACACCAGCCAGGGTCGTTTGGAATAATTTTTAGATTGATCCTGTGAGGGGAACTATGCAAGGAAGAAATCCAAGGTCAAAAGCAGTAAGGTGACTTGCCGAAGATTAGTTAACACAGATAGGGCAGAACTTGAATTTAGGTTTAATTTCATTTTGTTGAATCACCGTATGCTTTATACTCTGCTATCTTTTATATACTTGGGAGTTTGGGGGAGAGGGGAGCAAAGGAGATGGTGAGTGTGACCAATGGGAATGCTCACTTACAATGCAGTTTTGCTTCTAAGAGAGATCCCAAGGAAAACAAGTGCTCTCCACTCCCCTTCAAAAATTACTCATCTTTTTTTTAGAATTTTTATTTGGAACACTAATAAATGAGAAGTAAAAGGAAAGCTGTTTTTACTGAAACCAGGGGAAAGGGAGGTCGGAGAGCTGCCCACTCAGTCTCTGATGCCCACTTGGGCTTCCACATTACTCTGGATTCCCTTCAGCAGCCCTGCTCCCCTCTAGGCCCTGGGGCTTTAGGACAAACTGGGTTAGCCTGTGGCTCTGGTGAGAAAATGAGGGTTCATAAATAAAAGAGACCAAGGCCACACAAGTGATGGGGCCAGGCTAGAAACCAGGTCTAGCACCATTTATATGTTTTGCTATATTATGCTTATTTTAATTGTTTAAAAAAAGTACCAATTTGATACCTTGACAGCTCCTAATGAAGAGCAAGTGATGTGTTAAGCAATTTTCACAGAGTGTTAATCCTAGACACCTTTCAGTAACCTTATACCCTGCAGAAAGGATTCTAGCCAAGTTGGCCCAGCATGCCCCTTCCTTAATCACCAGGTAAAATTTGTCCTTAAACTGCCTCTTCTCACAAAAACCTGTAACATCCTATCCTGACAGTCACATCTAATCAGTACTGAGAACAATCAGAATTTATGCTTGCAAAACCAGCTAAACATCCGGCTGAAAAACTCAAGGTGCTGGTTGATCCCAAGATAAAGATGCTTTCAGCAGAGAAAAAAGGCTCTGTGATAGTGGGGTGACCACTCTGACTCTACTGTGGTTCCTTTTTAGAGCCCTTACAGGAAATTCTGGACTCCCACCCTGAGAAAAAGTTGTGTGTGCAAAGAGGTTTATGAACATCATTTACCACCACCCTGCTGAAATTTCCACAGTCCTCAACCACTGTTAAAAAAAGGTGGCACTAATCAAACCCTTGTTGGATGCTGGGGATTGAGTAGGACAGGCAAAAGTTCTCAAACTGTGTTAGGCAGTTCCCCCAGAGCTTTGGATCCAGTGAGCATGTATGTGTGTGACCTTGGAATCCATGTTCTGAACACCAGTTCTGATGCAGTGACTTGCAGACTTCTCTAAGAGCTTTGTATTGCCAATTTATAGTTGGATATGGAAGCTGCATAAGAACTGTTAAGTGGACAGAACAGTGGTCCTCCAGTGCCCAATGAGTTCTCAACAAGAGGAGGCCAAAGTATGACTGTTCAGGAGAAGGCATGTGGAGTGATTAAGCACATTCACGGGGCAACAGTAGATGCTAGTTCAGAGTTCTCTCAGGTGTGGTGTCTGCTTGTCACAGGATTGATGACCTGAGTGACAAGGAACTTTTGATCTGTATGGTTCTGATCATACCACCCTGCAGGCAGGGGTGGACCAAATAACTCCTCAGAGTATTCTGAATCTCCATTCCAACATCCCATTCCCCTAACTCAGTAGTCAGCAAACTGCGGCTCGAGACAACTGGGATAGATAGAGGATTAATCACAAGGAACAACAGCCTGTAATTAATGGAATCGAGAATCCAGGTCAGTGGTCGGCAAACTCATTAGTCAACAGAGCAGCAAACCGCTGACTTGTCTCTCAATCTTGCCAAAACAATGCAGTGCTGATACTTTTTTAATCTATCTGAATGATTGAAACCCTCCCACTCTTCCTTTCTCCTCTTTCCCATCCCTCACTATTGAATTTGCAGAATCCCAACACATCAGTGAATGCCATACATCAGAGAATGGAACAGTGATAAGGAGACCTGATTGCAATGAGAAAACCTAGTTGTGATACCATTCCTGGTTTTCAGTGGTGGAATCTTGGTGATCAGCCCCTGGCCTACCTGAAAGCTGTTCTTCCTTTCATATGATTTAGTATGGGCACAAAAATTTGAGTCTATGTTGTGCTGGGAGAAAAAAAAAAAAGGTATATATTTTGTTTCACCAGACAACTTCAAGTCAATTCATTTTTTGTTTTAAATATATATTTTTAATACTTTTATTGATTTCAGAAAGGAAGAGAGAGGGAGATAGAAACATCAATGATGAGATAGAATCATTGATTGGCTGCCTCCTGCATGCCCACATGTGATGGAACACGCAACCCAGGCATGTGCCCTGACTGGGAATTGAACCTTGACCTCCTGGTTCATAGGTCAGAGCTCAGCCACTGAGCCATACCAGCTGGGCCAATTCAGTTCTGTTTTTGTTTGTTAATCCTCACTTGATATTTTCCCAGTGATTTTTAGAGAGAATGGAAGGGAGAGGAAGAGACAGAGAGAAACATCAATGTGAGAGAGACACATCGATAGGTTGCCTCCTGCATGCACCCTGACCAGGGCAGGGGAACATGCAACCAAGGTACATGCCCTTGACTGGAATCGAACCTGGGACCCTTCAGTCCACAGGCCAATGCTCTATCCACTGAGCAAAACTAGCTAGGACCCAACTCAGTTTTTAAAGGATTTTGTTAGTCCTCTGGGGATGGAAGTGGGGAAATACTGGTTTCCTGTTTTTTTGTGCTTCCCATTTATTAGACAGTATGCCTGAAATCTGCATCATTTAATTCTTACCAACCCCAGAATAGGTACTGTCCCTGTTACAGATGAGATCATTAAAGCTTACATATCAAAGATCACATATCTATGCCGGCACCGGTTTGGCTCAGTGGATAGAGCGTCGGCCTGCGGACTGAAGGGTCCCAGATTCGATTCCGGTCAAGGGCATGTACCTGGGTTGCGGGCACATCCCCAGTGGGGAGTGTGCAGGAGGCAGTTGGTCGATGATTCTCTCTCGTCGATGTTTCTAACTCTCTATCCCTCTCTCTTCTTCTCTGTGAAAAATCAATAAAATATATTAAAAAAAAAAAAAAAAAGATCACATATCTATAAAATGGCAGAACTGAGATTTGAATTCATCCTAAGTTTCAAACCTTGGTTTTCTGATTGGCAAAAAAACAAACAAAAAAACACCTTGCTTGGGCCTTCATTTTTTAAAATTCTCACCCGAGGATATACTTTTCATTGATATTTAGGGGAGAGAGGGAAGAAAATTGATGTCATCATTGACAAGTTGCCTCCAGGAAGGGCCCTGACAGGATTGAACCCACAACCTGGGTATGTGCCCTGACCTTGACTGGGAATTTAACCCACCACCTTTCCACCTTTTGCAGGACAACGATCCAACCAACAGCCACACCAGGCCTTCCTTCCGAGTGAATGTTTACCTAACAAGTAAAGCCCTCCCCTCCCAGCACACACATTCCCACCCCATACCCTGATTTCTCCCCACACCCCTTCCCAGGACAGAGAAGACCAAGGGAGAGCCAGCAGCATTTCTCTCTGTACAGTTTTTAATTTTTTATTTTTTGATGTTGTTCAGATGAATGACACACTCAAGTTACAAAAATGGGGCCTTAAAAGAAGCACATTGTACAATGAACAAGCAGATTGGAGTTAAGAACACTGAAACGCTAACCCGCTACCACGAGAAGAGACAGGAAGGGGGTGCAGGATGGGAAGGGAAGGGCTACCAACACGGGTCAGACAGAACTGAAAGGGGGGGGTTAACTCGGTGAGAATGGAGAAGGTCTCCAGGGCCTAGTCAGTTTCCAGAAGCCACTTCTTGGTCTCCTATGCCCACTTGTTGCCACCTCCTCCCATCCCCATTCCACCCAGTGAATCAAATGAGTAGGTGAAAGACACCCACCCAGCAAGGGCTGAGCCAGTCAGGTCTTTACATGGTGGGCGATCACCTTGCCCTAGTGCAGCCTTGGATTTGGGAGGTAGTGGTGGCAGCAGTGGGATAAGAACCCTGGAAGGAGCCAGCAGAGAGGAGTTGATCGAAGATCAGGCTCCTGCTTTTCCCCAAAGACTCCTTGCCCATTCCCTACCCATCATGATCCAAAGGCCTTCTCTACAGTTGTTGAGAGAGGCCCCCAGTCACCCTGCAATTATATAAATAAATAAATATTGAGCCCCTGGCTTGGAGGACAGGGAGCGGGGATAGAGGAAAGAGGAAGGGGGGAGGAAGGGGGAGGCAGAGAGGAGGGGTCACAGACATAGTAAATAGTTGTCTCCGTCCCAGCAACACGTCTGTCTGGATTTTTCTCTCCTTTTTGTGTTTAACAAGGAGCTAACATCTCAAGGACAAATACTTAAAAATATACGTTATTTTTTCTTTCTTTTGTTTCGCCTTTGTCATCGTCATCTTGCTTTGGAGACTGCTGAGGTCAAAGTTCAAACCGCACGAAGGAACTGCGGCCTGTTTTGTGTATTTTTTTAAATTTTAACATTTTTCACTTTTTTTCCAACGTATAAAAAGGTAGCGGAGTTGTCTGTGGTTTTTTTGTGTTTTTTTTTTTTTAATGGTTAAATCTTTGGTTTGTTTCTTTTTTTCTCTTGGAGGCCTTTATTTCTCGCACTTGCCTTTCCCACTCAGAGGCCAGTGGGGGCCCGCGTGTCTCAATCTTGCTCAGTCTGTCTCACTCTCTCACTCAGTTCCCCTACCCTGGGCTAAATGGGAGAGAGGCACCTGGGATCTGGGTGGGTGAGGAAATCTAGTCATGTCAGGAGGTCACTCCCTACATGGCTTGGATGTGGAGACCCTCTCTCTCGGTCCTCCCCAGGGAGATGTGTGAGAAACATCCTTCCCCTTCCTCTGATCTTAGTCCCAACTCATCCAGGAGCCAGAATTCCCAATCTCCACCCATCCCCACTTACACCCGCCCCTCTCTCTCAGGAGACAACAGAGACAGGTGTTTTAGTTACTGGAAATTTTTTTTTTTTTTTTGGCACAATTAAAAGGTCCACCATTAGGATAGACCCGGTCTCTGTCCCTTCCTCAAGCAGGAGGTCGTGACTGGGGAGAAGAGGAATTCAGAGGGTGCCCCCTGCCCCATTTCTCCAACCCATTCATCTTCCTCTCTCTATAGCCCAGGCCCCTGGCCCCTCACCTTAATCATGGCACCTAGCCCAGAGCCTGGTCTGGGGTCTCCCTCCCCAACCCCCATATAATGTTCCCCAACCCCCCAAATCTCTCGCTCACACAGACACACGGACACCGGCTCTGTACAGACCACAAAATAAAAACGATGAGATAGTTTTGTTTCCCGGAGTTCAGCCGGGGGACTGGAGCGGAAGGGGCAAGAGGGGAGTGGGGGGCACAAATTCCCCCATCACCTTCCCAACCCTGGCTCCCTTCTGCCCCCCAGCCCCTTGCCCTGGCTGGCCCCCAGCCAACGATATTTGGTTTCCTTTTTTTTTTTTTTTTTTAACATTAAAGTTCTATGAGGTATTTGGTGCCTTATCTCGAGTCCTCGGGGGAGGGGGCCCGGGGGGGAGACCTGGGGCACACTTGCCCCTCCCTCCCTCCCACCCCCTTCCCAATATTTGGTTTCACAGCTGTAGTTAAAGCTTGGGATTTGGTTATTTCCCCCCTCCCAGGAATTTTCTGTTATTCTTGTTTTTCTTTTCCCAGTTATAGGGGTTGTATGGGGAGGGTCCCCACCATCCCCCGCTGCATGGGGGGGTCCCTCCACCAGTGTCAGGGCATCATTGGCCCTATCCCTGCTCCCTACTTCCTCCTCTGCTGTCTGCCCCACACCCCCAACACTGGGGTTGGGAAGAGGTCCCACGTGGCAGGACTTGATGGGGAAGAAGCAGGATGAAGTGGGTGGTGGTGAGTCCTGGATTTTTTTTTCTTTTCTTTTTTTTCCATTTTATTCTTTTTTTTTCTTTTTTTCTTTTCTTTTTTTTTTTTTTTTTTTTTCTTTTTTCTTTTTTGGTCTGAAATCATAGTATTTGTTTGAGTCATCTCCACCATGCCTTCCATGCTGCCTGTCTTCTCGGAGGGGTTTTTGGTTGTAATTCCTTTAACTTTGCTCTGCTCAAATGTCCTTATTGTCTGCCCAGGCCCTCTCAATAGTCTCTTCTCTTCAGGAAATAAAAATGGACAAACTCAGAGGTAGGGTGAGGGCAGGGAGTCGGTTCAGCAGAGATTCTTACATTCCGGCGGCGAGGCTGGCTGATGGCAGGCCAGGCCCCATCATGGGCGCCAGGGTGCTAGGGGCAGCCACTCCACTATCGGACAAGGCACCCCAGACCCCCAGGACAGCCGAGTGTCTGCTGCCTCTGTGGCCCAGCCCAAGTTTCATTTCCCGGGTGGGAGAAGGGAGACAAGAAAAAGAACGCGGAGGCCTCAGGGCCCAGAGTGGCCACGAGGCTCTGTCTGCCTCTCAGTGTCCAGCAGCACTGTCTGGGTTCCCCCTCCCTCTGCTCTGTTCTGCCCAGCGAGGGGCAGGGCCACTCTGATTTCCATGGCTCTCGTCCTTCACAGCAACACTTTGGTTTGAGGAGAGACACAAAGAACGAGATTGAGAGAGATGAGAGAAGAAGGAAGAGAGAGGAAAAAGGAAAGAGAGAGAGAGAGAGAGAGAGAGAGAGAGAGAGAGAGAGAGAGAGAGAAGGATATTACAGAGGCGAGAGGACAGAGGGAATAGAAAAAAAAGTAGGAATCAAACCACCCGAAAGTGTGTTAGTTTTCCTTCATTCTTTTTGTCTTCTTATTCCTTTTTTCCTGTTGTTGTTTTTTTTTAAAGCTTTTTCAGTTGATTGGGGTGGGGCAGGGAGTATGGGACTCTTCATCCCAGTCCCTGGCACCCTCTCTCAGCCCTGCCCACCCGCTTTCATCTGCCCTAGCTGAAGGACAGGCCCTGCCCCAGGTCCCCCCTCCGGCTTTCCCGAAGACGACGTCCATGAGGTATTTGTGAAGAGAAAGAAGCATCTGTCCTTCCACCCGTCTCGGGAACCAAGGGCCTGGACAGGGCTTGGCTCCGCCTCGCGGGTCCTTCTCATTCTTGAAGAGTTCTCTTCTTCTTTCCCTTAAATATATATATAAATTCTCTTTTCTAGTTTTAACTTATTGTTTTTTTTTGTTTGTTTTTGGTTCAAAACTTTGTTGGCCTCCACAATAGCAGGGGGCAAAGCGGCTCCGAGCGGTGCCTCTCCTCTGTCTGTCGTCCTGCAGATGTGTCCCGGGGCTGAGCAAACACAGGGTCCAGCCAAGACTAGAGGGAGGTGTCATAGGATCGGCGGCCATCACAGTGCCCTCTCAGGTGGGGACCACAGGTCATGGCACTGTCCCCGCCACACGAACCCTGAAGGGATGCCATCTGGAGGAACCTCACCACTGGGGTGAGTACGTGTCTGCATGTGTCAGGGACAGGAGGAGGCAACTGCCAGTATCAGAGGGGCATAGGGTGGGGGGGGAGTGAGTGAAGTGAGTTCTCTTTTTGGTTTCTGGTCAATGTCAAAGAACGTGAAGGATTCCACGGATAGGCACTGGAATATGAATTTTTTTTTTTTTTTTCAGGGAAACTGACAGACAAGGATGGAAAGAAAGACAACTTGCATGCCCTCACCTCATTCCCTCTTTGCCTGGGACTTCCACCTCCCCATAGACCGGGGAGCGGGGAGGCCCCAGAGGGTGACCCGGTGAGGGGGGACATGTGAGAGCTAGAACTTAGCAAAATGGCCTAGCCCACCTTTCACAGGGGAACGGGGGAAGTACAGGGGTGAAGAGTCATCCCAGGCCTTCCCCTACACTCTCCACTGGCGGGGGAGGGAGGAGGTTAAAGCGAGCCCCCCTGCCTGGGCAGGGAGAGCTGGCGGGGAGGGGAAAGGAGGACGCATGGTGGGGACACATTCTGTTGAACACAACGCTAAAAATTCTGTACATCCTTTGGATGAAGCTACTGAATATTTGGTGTAAGGTTGTTCAGGCCCTTTCTCTTTCACCTTTTGGAAAAGAGCGTTTGGCGGTGGTTCTGAGCCCCACCCCTCTACCCCAGGCTGCCAGGGCTGGGGCTGGGGCTGGGAGGCTGGCACTGTCTCTTTTTCCTTCTTTGGCCCCTGCTGGGGGAGGCAAGGTTGCAGGTTGGCCCCACAGCCAGGGGCTCAGGGTGAGGTCCGCCCTCGGGCGTCTCGGCCCCCGGCTGGGGTTCTTATTTGGTGTCCTAGCTGTGAGGATGAGCACACTGAGGTCTGGCTTGCAACTGGTTTTTGGTTTGTTTGGTTTGGGGGTGGGGGGGTTGGTCTGTTTTTGGTTTTTGTTCGGTTTTCACCTCTGGTTCCTTTGGGGCAGCTGGTTTTTGTTGCGATTATTTTTGGTTTTCTTTTTTGTTGGTTTCTCTTCTTTCTTTCTTTCTTTCTTTTTTTGGTTGTTTGAAAAAATTTTTTTTTTTTTTTTTTTGTGTCTCTTCTCCCTTATCACTCCTGCTCCAAGGACCTCCTACACTCCCATCGCTGGCCTCCTCACTGTCTTCTAGACGGGGACCAAAGTGGGGGTCAGAGGAGGAGGAGGGGAGGCATGGCGGGCCCTCACTCGGGCTTGGACCCTGCCTCCGGCCCCCCTGGGCCTCCAGGGGTCTGTGCTGTGGCCTCGCTGCAAATGGAGGAGGAGGACGACGAGGAGGAAGTGGAGGAGGAAGAGGAGAGACCCGGAGACTTGCTGGAGATGGAGGCTGCCACAGCCGCCGCGGCTGCCGAGACCAGGCCCACGCCAGGCGGGGCGCTGAGCAGGGGCAGCCCAGCGTGGTTCAAGAAGAGCGGCGAGGTCACCAGGCCAGGGCTCCCCGGGGCCGCACCAGCTGCCCCCAGCACCAGGTTCCCGCTGCCGTCAAGGCTGGTAAGGGGCAGGGTTCCACCAGAGGCCAGGGCTGGCAGGGAGAGAGAGAGGCTGGGCTGGGGGCACCTTCCAGCATCCTGCCCACAGCGCCCCGTCTTCCCATCAGCCCCGAGGACCCCCATGAGTGGCCCTCACACCTTCCCCAAAGGCGAGGTGGGTATGAAGAGGTGAGCAATGCAGTGAGCAGGGGCAGATGGCATGGCTGGAGCAGCAATGGAGGGGCTCGAGGCCTGTGAGGGCAGGGCTGGTGACCATGGGGGTGACATGAGGCAGCACGCACCTTGGATAGTAGCCAAAGGGTTGTTGCTCATGAGGGCTGGACTCAGCCCGGAGCTCAACCCCACCATTGTGCTTCTGCAAGAGGCAAAGCAGAGGCATTAGCAGGGGCGGGGCCGGCAGAACGGGGGCTCGGCCCCCCACCCAGGAAGCAACAGTGACCCTGCTTCTCCCCACAGTCTCCCCAGCTGCCCACTTACCCCGCGCTGGGGTTCAGGCCCGACAAGCCGATAGCCGAATGGCTGCCTTGAGGGCTGGGATTTGTGCTGTTGGTGGTGGCCGGGGGTGGGGGAGTGACAGAAGGGATGGAATTGAGGGGGGGCGCGGCCCCGCCCCCGCCCCCACCCGCTCCGGCTGTCCGGCTGGGGTGGAGCGTCCCCACAGCTGAGGATAAGGTAGTAACTGCCAGAGAGAGACAGAGAGAGGGAGATTTCAGCTTCCACCGGTCCTCCACTCAGGAGGCTGGGTCACCTCCTGCCGCAGTCTCCCAGCATCTGCTCAGTCAGAGCCCACTCAGGCCTCCTGCCCTCTCTGCCCAGGGCCATCTCGTCATGCCTCTGCCATGTGGCAGCAATCACAGTCATCGAAGTAAGAGCAGCTGTCACTGACTGAACCCAAGCTCAGTACCCTGCCCTGAACCTCATCCCAAGGCTCTTTTTATACAGATAAGGACCCAAGGTGCCCAGAAGCCCTAAGGAGCCAGGCCAGCATGAGGGGTGCAGCTGGGTACCAGCTTCGGCTCAGGAATTGGCAGGTTGAGAGGGCTCTGAGCCCACTCAGGCCAGACAGGCAGGGTGACAACTCTGGCTTTGCTGTGTCTCACCTGTGCCCTTGAGCAAGCACCTTCACCTCTCTGGCCTTCAGTTCTCTCATCAGGAAAATGGGATGATAAAATGGGTGTGAGGATTAAATGAGGCAATATCCTATTTAATAAACCCTAATATGCAAATTGACCAAATAGGAGAACAACCAACCAGTTCCTATGACACGCACTGACCACCAAGGGGCAGACTCTCAGTGCAGGAGCTGACCCCTGTGGTCAGGGCGCTCCCACAGGGGGAGTGCCACTCAGCCAGCAGCCGGGCTCACGGCTGGCAAGACGGTGGTGGTGATGGAAGCCTCTCCCACCTCCGTGGTAGCACTCAGGACCCCTTGGAGGATGTCTGTCTGTCTGCCTGTGGGTAGTAGGCCTAAGCTGGCAGGTGGACATTCCCCAAGGGGTCCCAGACTGCGAGAAGGTGCAGGCTGGGCTGAGGGACTACCCCCAGTGCACTGGGCCTCTAGTTCTTTATAAAGCATTTAGAACAGTTCCAGGCACACCCTTACTACTTTTATAAACCTCCACTTATTATTTTTTAACTTGGAAAGGGGCAATATGGTGGGTTTTTAAAAAATAGTACTCTTATGTATACGATGCTGTGTCTCAGGAAAGGAGGGCTTTGTACAAAAAAATGTGTGTGGCCCGGCCAGTGTGGCTTGGTGGTTGAGTGTCTACCCATGAATCAGGAGGTCACGGTTCAATTCCCAGTCTAGGTATATGCCAGGGTGCAGGCTCAATCCCCAGTAGGGAGTGTGCAGGAGGCAGTCTATCAGTGATTCTCTCTCATCATTAATGTTTCTAGTTCTCTCTCTTTCCTTCTTTTCTAAAGTTAAAAAAAAGTGTTTGTGTGTGTAACATTTGTATGTATATATGCATGTATATGGCTTCTGCATGTATTATACATTCACAATAATTGTATAAAAACTGAGGCCCAGAGAGGTAAAGTCACTTCTGAAGCTCACACTGTTTATAAATCCCAGAAACAGATCCCAAGTCCATCGTCTTTGAGCAACCCCATGCTTTTCTCTGGCCAGGACGGGGGAGTCTGCCCTCTCCCCTCTGTCCTCCCAGCCCCCTCCTCCCCAGGCTCAGCATTGAGGCCCATGGACACCCTGAGCCACTTGCAACCCTTGGGCTCAGACCCGAGTTGTGTTCTTCCTCCCCCACCCCACCCCTACCATCTTCTGCTCTCCCTGACCTGTTGTGCTCAGACTGCTGGAAGCTTGGGACATCGGCAAGGTCCCAGCACTCCCTTGGGGTGTGACCTGGGGAGAGAGGAGAGAAGCATGGTCAGGCCACTGTCTCCCACCAATCCCTGCGGTGCTCCTGTGGGGATGGCCCCTCCTCCTCTGCCTCCTGGATGGTGAAGGGACCTGGGTATGATGCTCCATTGGTATTGTGCCAGGTGCTTTCCACTTTCTCCACTAGTACCCTAGGTGATCTGAGCCACCAGCAGGAGCGAGTAACTCCCAGTTGAGGGCCCTCCCCACCCTGACACCACGCAGTTACAAGTCTGAAGTGGGGGATGATGGCAGGGGTGACTGTGCACCAGAGTAAAATGGCTTGATTTTCTGGGATCATCCACCAGTCTTCCCTCAGCCCCAGGAGCCTCACACTGAATGTGACCCTGTCTCTCCCTGCACTGCCCAAGTTTAAGTTCAAGCTCCTCAGCATATAACTTGGATGTCTGGCCCCTGCCTCCTCCTACCCTCCCCTATTCATTCAGTTCCACACACTAAAAGGTACTGGAGTTCCTCAAATTGGGCTTGACAGTCTGGCTTCCAGGCCTTTGTGGACCCTAGTCCAGTGGTCGGCAAACTCATTAGTCAACAGAGCCAAATAGCAACAGTAGGAATGAAATTTATTTTGCTAGCCAAATTTTTTAAACTTAAACTTTTTCTAACGCTACTTCTTCAAAATAGAATACCAGGCCATGGTATTTAGTGGAAGAGCCACACTCAAGGGGCCAGAGCCGCATGTGGCTCGAGAGCGCAGTTTGCCGACCATGGCCCTAGTCCCTTGCCTGTCCTTCACGTGGCTGGCTCTCTCCTGTTCTCTATGACTTGCTCCAATGGTCGGTCTTTCCTCCACATCATGGGGGGAGGGGGGATGGACTCCTCTGGGCTCCTCACTCCTCTCTATAGCCCTTTCCACACCGGATGGAACAGAGGGATGTCCTAATGTGTCTGATCCTGAGCGGGTCTGTGTGCACACCCAGGGCTGTAATGCCCCTGCTTGTGTCCGTGTGGTTGTGCCTGCATCTCCTACCTGGTCTCTATCCCTGAGTGACTGTCTGGCAATGCGGGTATGTGTGGTGCTTGTGTCCCCCACTTAAGACCACAGTTCCCCGGAAACTCCGCGTCCCTGTGTGAGGACGCTCCCCCCACAGGCCACTCCCTGCCTCTGCTCTGGGCACTGCGGACAGCCAGAGAGGCTGTGCCTCACACGGGCACCTGCCGCGGCCGGGAGGCGGCGGCGGCGGCGGCAGAGCTCTGTGCCCCCCAGGGCTCCGGTACCAGGTGGGGGCTGTAGCTGGCCGGCTTCCCGGGGCTGGGCAGCATAGGGGCCGCGCTGCAGGGGTTGATGCGTTTCTCCTTCTGGCGCCGGTTGCAGAACCAGACGCGGATCACTTCCTTCTCCATGTGCAGCTGCTCCGCGATCAGCAGGATCTCCTCTGAGGTAGGCTTCTGGTTCTGCGGGCAGAAGGCTGGTTAGCGGGGCCCCTCTCCCGCCCGCACCGCCGCCCGCACCTCCTCCCCCAGCGCCGCCAGGACCCGACCTCACCGCTAGAAAACTCTTCTCTAAGGCGAAGCGGACGTTTGTCTCAATGCTGGTCCTCTTCTTGCGTCTCCGGCCCGGGAGCCCATCGAAGCCCAGGCTGGGGCTGCTCAGCTGGTTGGGGCTGGGCAGGCTGGAGTCCACAGACATAGTCTCTGTGCCGGGAGGACACGGGGCGTGAGAGGGTGCCTCCCTCCCTCCCTCTGGCCCCAAGCCCGCCGCCCACCGAGGAGCCCAGGCCCACCTGCGTCGTTGAGCCACTTCTCCAGGAGCGGCTTGAGTTTGCACATGTTCTTGAAGCTCAGGTTAAGGGCCTCGAAGCGGGAGATGGTCGTCTGGCTGAAGTCGTTGCCGTAGAGCTTGCCCATGGCCAGGCCCACGTCACCCTGGTCCGTAGGGCAGGGCGAGGATGGGGGTCAGAGCCGGCTCCTGGCATTGGGCTCGCCCCTCACCCCGGGGGTCCGCCCCACCCCTCACCCCCGCCCACGGCCGGTTCGGGAGGCCCCAGACCTGCGTGAAGCCCAGCTTGATGCGGCGTTGCTTGAAGGTGCGGGCGAACTGCTCCAGCTCCTCCAGGTCACTGGGCTCCTCGGGGTGGGAGGGTGGCTCCAAGCATTTGGGGGGCTGCGGGTGCGAGAGGTGCGGGTCGGGCAGCGTGGGGCGGGTCACAGCCTGGCGGGGTAGGCAGGCGGGCGGGGATGCAGGACGAAGGACCAGGATGGGGCTCAGCAGTGACTGCGCAGTCCCCCTCTTCTCCCTCCCTCCCTGCCCTCCAGCTTCTGCCAGCAGGTTCTCTCCAAAGGCCGGCCTCACGCTGGGCTGTCCCTTCCCAGGGTGGCTGCGTGGGCCTCTCGCTGCTGGAACTCTGCAGATTCCCTCCCGGCCTGCAAACTCCCAGAAGGAGCAGGCGGGTTCATTCCCTGGAGCTGGGGGCAATGACTCCATCTCCTCTCCCACAGGGAGTCAGGGACCAGCTCTGCTAGGAATTGCTGGGGACCTCAGGTCCCCCTCTGCAGGATGGGACAATCACCGCTGCTGCCTATGCAAGGACTTGTTGGGAAAACTTGGTTAAAAAATGTATTTTCCTAAACACTAAAGCTCTGAAGCAGGCGGTGGGTGCAGGGAAGCTGGTCACAAAGGTCGCTGATCCATTATCCAAAACCCTGGGGCCGGATGTTTTGGAATCCAGAAATTTCTCCTATTTTAGAAAGCCTACAGGGGGCATATGCCTTAGGAGATGTGAGGCCACCATCAGGGTCCAGGCATCACCCCCAAACTCGGACACATTGACATTCTCAGCAAAGCCCGAATCACACAAGAGGGATAAAGCAAAGTCACTCATCGCCTTGAATCAGGTCAGGACAGGTTGTGCAGCCAAATGACTTCGGTGCCCACATTACAAGAACTAGACTTTCCGAGCATTTCTGGATTTCACAATTGCACTAGGCCCTCTGGTTGTTCTTAAACTTTTAGGGTTTTCTAAATAGTTCATATAATTCTTTGAAAGGACTGTTACAAAAATGGGTAGAAGGGGATTTTGAAATCTGTAATGAACTGTGAACGATTCTTTATGCAAGTCTAGAACCCAGGCAGCAAACCAAGAAAGACCATGGGAACCAGGCAGGGGGAGGCCGAGACAGCTGGAGAGGGGACCCCTGTTTGAGGGGACCCCCTGCTCTGGCCAGTGACCAGCTGCCAATCGCCACCTAAGCCACACGGACACAGATCCATTTTGCCAGTACTTCTGGTTTGTCAAGAGAAGCTGGGAATCTGGCATTTTCTGGGAATTGTGTCAACTGATTCCATTTTTTAAAATATGATGTGAGCCCCGGTTTTCAGTGTCTGATCTGGAAGGTGGGTGTGAATTAGAACCCAGCAGACCCTTCTCCCAAGAACCTTCCAATTGGACCCTGGAAGAGACCCAGGGCATCTGAACCCAAAGACTTTCAAACCTCCCAAGGTTCCTGTGTTTGTGTACATGTGCGTTCAGGGGTAGAGTGGTCGGATCGAATCTCCCATCGACTTCTCAAAGGAGTCCATGTGCCTGAAGGGCTAAGAGCCACTGATTTGGTTGATTCCCCTCATTCCACGATTTTTAACCTTTTCCATCTCGTGGTACACATAAACTAAAATTACTAAAATCCTGTGGCACACCAAAAAATACATTTTTGCCCAACTGACAAAAAAAAAAATGGGTGTAGTTTTGATTCATTCACACTTGACGGCTATTGTTGTGTTGGCTGTTGTCATTTTTTAATTTGACAATCTAAGGGGAAAGAGGTCAGTGCCCCTGATTAAATAGTCAGGTATGGCACGTTTTAAAAGTTCTTGCGGCACACTGGTTGAAAATCGCTGCTACAGAGGAAGATCCAGACCACGAGAGAGTAACTTGCTTAAGGTTCCACAGCCACTTAGTGGTAGACACTGCTGGGTCCCTGGTCTCCCAGCTCCTGGCCTGGCCTCTGAGGCTGGGGAGTGGGCCAAATGGAGAAGAGACCCTCAGCCCCGCCTTACCCCCATCCACCCAGCCTCCCGCCAGTCCACTGCTGGCCCAGCCTGGCACGCTCGGTGGACACTCACCTGCGTGGGCAGCCCGGCCCGGGGCTGGGAGGTCAGAAGAGCCCCCTGGGTTTGCTGAGGTAGCTGGAATAGATTTGGCGTCGGTAGCAGGCCTGGGGAGACAAGCGGGGACACACAGGGTGAGGGGGAGGGCAGTGCTGAGCAGGCAGCGGGGAGGCCACCGGGTTGGGGCCTTACCTGGCTGACTCTGCTGGGCCTGCGGCAGCAGGAACTGAGCAGGGGGCTGGAGGTGATGGCCCGGCACAAGCACCAGCTGCTGGAGCTGGAGAAGCTGCTGTATGTCCTGGTGGGAGGAGGTGGACAGAAAGACAGCCTGAGCCCCCCTGCCTCACCTGAGCCCAGGGGGTGCGGCATGGGGTGGCCTGGCACCCGGCAGTGAGGACGGAGCATGGGCTCTGAGCAGCAGCGCTGAGCCAAGAGCACCTGGGAGGTGTGGTCCAACCCCAGACTTCCGGAGTGTCCGACCAGGGTCGTCCCAGGAGGGCCCACTCTCTATGTATCTTTTCTTTCTTGGTTAAATATTGACCTTGTCTTACAATCCCATGGAACAAATAGAATTGTTTAAAAATGTAAATCAGACCCAGTCCTTTTAAAGCACGGTATCATGTCTGGAATAAACTTTAAAATATTCCAGCAGATAGTGGGTGAGGAGACTATGTGGCCACTTTGGGAAACGCTTTGGCACAGTTATGGGTTGAACTGTGTTTCCCCAAAAAGGAAATGTTGGAATCCCCACCTCAGACGCCCAGAGTGTGACCTTACTTAGAGATAAGGGGCCCCAATCCCAATCAAACGGTGACTGGTTTCCACATGAAAAGGGGGAAGCTGTGAAAAACCAAGATGGCTGCACTCTTGTTGAGACCTGTAGGCCGTTATTGCCTCCATGGCCACCTCAGTCCTCAGCTCTGTATCAGAAAAATTTTATTGATTTTTTTATAGAGAGGAAGGGAGAGGGAGAGTTAGAAACATCGATGAGAGCGAAGCATCAATCAGCTGCCTCCTGCACTCCCCTCTAGTGGGAATGTGCCCGCAACCAAGGTACATGCCCTTGACCAAAATTGAACCCTTGAGTCCGCAAGCCGACGCTCTATCCACTGAGCCAAACCAGTGCTGTTCCTTTGGGAACCTCAGCCAAGGAAGAGATGGAGAGATTCTGGAATAAGAACGCTGGTTCAAACCGCCCTCTTTCTCCTCATATCACTATCTACAGTTGGTCTTTTCCCATGGCGATGTCCATTGGCCACCGCCGCACTGGTGTTGCCTTGAGTGCAGGGGTCTCTCTCTTTGGCTTGTCGGCCCTGTTGCTCCCGGGGAACTTTGAGTCCCATCTGGAGCTGGCGAAGTCCCTGAGTTTGGGGCCGGTGCTGATCCACTCAGCCAAGTTCGTGCTCGCCTTCCCTCTCACGTATCACACCTGGAACGGCGTCCGACACTTGATGTGGGACCTGGGAAAAGGCCTGAAGATCCCGCAGCTGACCCAGTCCAGGGTGGCTGTCCTGGTCCTCAGTGTACTGTCCTCGCTGGGGCTGGCAGCTATCCGCCCCCGCTCCTCCTGCCCCGATGATCAGTCACACATTTCCTCGCTCTCACCTGCTCAGACCTGTGTGCTTGCGCTGTCCCTGGAGCTCAGCTGTAGAAAGGGTCCCAGGACCCCCTTGTTTCTAAGGTGGCTGCAGCAGCTCCCTGCTCCTGTCCCCGCTTGCAGCCCTTATTCTCTCCATATTGGGCCTTGATTTGTGCTGAGGGTCAGCTCTTGGCTCCTCTTCCCAAGACGGTGGAAACAAAGCCAGCTCTGTGGCCTCCGCCATGCGGACTGGGAGTGGGGCTGTGGGTGCCACTGCCTGTGGGTTGTGGCTTCAAGGACCATTCTGTTCACTGGTCAGACCCAAGGTCCTCGGCACCCACATGGTGGGAGATTAGCCTGTCCTGGCCAGAGGGGTTGGCTTTTGAAGCAGGTGCTTTGGGGAGAAGATATATAGTTTATGATACAAGAGAAGATCCAAAAAAGTATTGCTGAACCTGTGGAGGGTTATTTCTTTTCCTTGCAATTCCAGAAAAACAAGCCTCTAATTGTCATGTTTTCTAATCAACGTTCATGTGACATCTTTTTCTGAAAATAAAAATACTAATTAAAAAAAAGGGGGGTAGGCTGTATGCAGAGACAGACATGCGCAGAAGGGAGCCAATGGGAAGACACAGAGAGAAGATGTCCTTTACAAGCCAGGGAGAGAGGCCTGGGACAGACCCTTCCCTCCCAGCCCTCAGAAGGAGCCAACCCTGCCAACACCCTGTAGCCTCCAGAACTGTGAGAGAATAAATCTCTGGTGTGTAAGACACCCAACCTGTGGTCCTTTGTTACGGAAGCTCTAGCAAATGAATACAGGCACTATTTCTAAAGCCGACCGCATGCCTGGGTATAAGCCACCACAAGTGCTTACATGTGTTCACCGAAAGATGAGCTAGAATGTTCATGGCAAAACCATTTGCAATAGCCCAAACCTGCCGACAGCCCAGGTGCCCGTCAACGCGTGGACGGGGTAAATAAAATGACTCGTGGAATGCTACAGCGATGAGAATGAGCAGTCTGCCATCTGCAGAGACACACAGCAACACATACACTAAACTTCCCAAGTACAGTGGTAAGTGCAAGACGCTGGTCAGAGTGGAGGATGTCCTGTTTGATCCCTTTATGCTCCATTTGCATGTTGGACGCTGGGAGGCAGACACTAGAAGGAACCCCAGGGAACTGCCGTCATCAGTTCCTACATCTGGGCGCTAGCTGGATGGATGCACTCGGTGAGTGGGGGCCCCTGAGCCCCCACTTACAATCTGTGCACTTTTTGGTGTTTGTGATACTTCAATGAAAAGAATGAGACAGCCGAAACCGGTTTGGCTCAGTGGATAGAGCGTCGGTCTGCGGACCGAAAGGTCCCAGGTTCCATTCCGGTCAGGGGCATGTACATTGGTTGCGGGCACATCCCCAGTGGGGGGTGTGCAGGAGGCAGCTGGTCGATGTTTCTCTCTCATCGACGTTTCTGGCTCTCTATCTCTCTCCCTTCCTCTCTATAAAAAAATCAATAAAATATATAAAATAAAATAAAAAAAATTAAAAAAAGAATGAGACAAGAAAAGAGGGAAAGGAAAAAAAAAAAATCCAGCATCTCCAAAAAAACGTAGGAGTATAGGTGAAGGAAGATTGGCAAGATATTGAGTTGGGTGAAGATGTGTGTGGTTCCTCACCTCTTCTCTCTGCTTTTAGGTTTGGACATTTCCAAAAGAAAAAGCAAGTCCCCTCTCACTCAAACGGTCCAATGGATTCTTGCAGCCACACCACCACCCATGAGTTCCTCCCCTGGCCTCTAAGCTCTTCCTCCTGAGGCCTGTGCTATTTTCCTGACCTCGACGCCTTCCACAGGCCTTTCCACGTGCTCTGCCCTCTGCCAGGCAGTTCTGGGTCCTACGCTCAGTCACTCAGGTCCTAACACAAAGTCCCTCCTTGGCCACTTAATCTAAACCAGCCCAGCACTACGCCTTCCTAGGCCACCTCCACTTCACCTCTCTCATAAGACTTATTACTATCTCAAGACTAGTGTCCTGGTGCATGGATTTGTGCACATTGAAAGGAAATTAATTAGGAGAAATATTTTAATATCACTCCTCGCCCTTTATAATGGAAGTGTCAACCAAATTCACGATCAACAATGACAGATAGAAACACACGTGTGCGATTGGTGCCTTCGAGAGCTTTATATGTATCAGGCATGCGCGAGTCTACTTAGCCTTTTATAGATATAGAATAAACTTGCTTAATTAGACCTGCTTTCTGATGTAGCTAAGCCTTTTCCAGCCCAGTGAAGTACCCTAACTTCTCTTTCAGGTAATTGTCAGCAACACAGCAGTAAATATCAACACCAAGCAGATTATTATTGTAGATCATGCAGGGAGAACAAAGGGTAAAATATTTAACTGCAGCAGTGTTTGACTATATTCTGTGCTGAGAGAAAACCTGAAGACATTTTCAAGGTCCACTATTTATTCTTTTCAGTCAGGTCAAGTTTCTAAACTTTCTAAATCTTCATTTTCCAGCTAATGAAAAGAAAATAGTCTTCTACTGAGTCTCCTATCTACCTACTCCAGGACTTCTGTAAGGATCCAATGAGACGAGCATTCACAGATATTTGATTAAACTGTTTGCACCTGGCTATAAAGCAAGTCGGGTTCCTGGGCTGAAGAAACTGCAAGAAGGCTGGTCACTAGGGAGAGGAAGCCAGGAGTTGCTACATGACATCATTACTCGGCACCCACAGTGACCATGTTTGGGCTGGGCTGGAATGGGCTGTGGGCTTGGCACAGTTGGCTGAGATTTGGTGAAGTATCGCTCTGGGGTGGCGGCGGGGCCTGTGTCTCACTTGGGGGAAACTGAGTGTTGGTTTGTCAGCTCCAAGTCCTTGGTGCCATTTATTTTTAAATAGCCAGTGCACTTCATGGCAGCTCCTGAGTGGAGCATCTGACCCCTCATGGTCAGTGCACATCATAGCTACCAGTTGGATGAGTGAACAATTAGCCTTTTATATATATAGATATTTCTCCTATTTACTCCCTCATGGTACATCTGCCTCACTGGTACACCATCCCCAGGAAGTGTGACCTTGACTGTTTTGGTCACTGCTGTAATCTCAGTACCTAGAACAGCACCTGGCACCCAGTAGGTGCTCCACATTTATTTGTCAAATGAACCAACGCTAAAGTTCCAAAATCTACTTAGCAACTTTTATGTCTAGTTGCACGTTACAGGGTGGGACAAAAGTAGGTTTACAGTTGTGAGTATGCCAAACAGAGTTTACTCTTGTATTATTACTTACTAATCATTGTATTTTCCATACACACAACTGTAAACCTACTTTTCCCCACCCTGTATATTACTCACAGTTACAATATTTTCTTTTCCCTCTGAGAAACTGGGGGGATGACACAGGCCTTCGATTCCTCCCAACTTAATGTCTCTGTCAGTGAACCACTGGGGGGAAATAAAAGGAACTTGAAGCTAAGTGCTTATTTCTCTAATATATGAACAGCGATTCAAAATCAATAAGAAAAAAACCTAATGACCCAGCAGTAATCTGGCCAACAGACAGGTCTGGTGACTGCCCAACAGAGCAAATACAAATAGCTCTGAATGAGAAGATGTTCCAATTCACTCCCAAGGAGATAAACACAGCCACAGCCGCACTGAGCTACTCTTTTACCTGTCAGATCGGCAAAGATAATAGGGCCTGACGTGCT